GAGCCCGATGCGGGGCTCGATCCCAGGACCCTGGGATCATGACCTGAGCCGAAGGCAGACGCTTAACGACTGAGCCACCCAGGCGCCCCAACAAAGTATATATTTTAAAAACACATTATATTACAGTAAAAAGAATGGATTTGAGAAAGGAGATAATGTTTCGGTTTTGAAGTAGGGCTCTAAGAAAAGTGGACTGATTCCACATGTTTTAGAGGTGAAATAGGTAGAACTCACTGATACAGGGAATAAGAGAAAGGTAGTGATCAAGTGGTAGTGATCAAGACTGACCAAGTAACTGGATCAAAGGTGGTGACTTTTAGGTTTCCAGAAAAACAGAACAGTTGATTGTATTAGATATTGCTTAGGATTTGAGTAAGGAGAACAGAGAAATTGACACTGGATTTTAACATGGAAGTCATCGGTGATCTATGAACAACATTAGGGTAGTGGAAGAGATGAAATCCTTATTGGAGCATGCTAAACTGAAATTATGAAGCAAGTGGAGAAAACAATTTTAGCCAACTCTGAGTAGGTTTCTGCTTGGTTTTTTTTTCCCCCTTTTGTGAATTAGAAGAACAGAAATGCAAAGAAAGAAAAGAGCAAGGTGGAAAGTGTTGTGAGATCAGAGCAAGTTATTACATATATTATACAAATGGTTGATGAAGAGTCTGGTATAAAAACATAAGCTTCACTCACTTAATAGTCTTGGTAGAAGATTAGGCCTCATCTACCACCTTTCCCTGCCACCCCAGAACCAGAAACCACTTTTTAAGAAACCTCTTGATATATTACTTGTACAATGAATAGTCATTTTTTTCCTATTCTTTAAGTTTTGCGATGTGTAGGGGAGGAAGTTCCCATTTTTCTGTTCATTTCTTTTGCTTTGACAGCTTTATTGAGATATAATTCGCATACCATAAAATTCACCCATTTAAAGTGTACAATCAGTTCTTTATATGTCCTGGGTTCCTTAATGATGTTCAAATGTTGTCTGGTACTAAATAACATTCAGCATGAACCAAAAAATGTTTTGGAAACAACACAGAGAGATATTTTCCTTCTAAACTTTTATTTTAATGATCAATTTTAATTTAAAAAGTATTGTACAAAACAAGATTTTAGAAAAAAACAGAAGAAAAACCATTTCCAATTGATATGCAGGGAAGGACTCATAGTAACATTTTGAGGAGTGAAGTTTTTTTGTTCTTAACTTTGGGAATCATCATTATTCTATATATCTGTTTCTGGATACGTGACAAAATTAACCCTTAATAGTTCAAACTACTTTTTATCTTTCCAATTACTTGAGGCCAAGAGCATTCCTAACAAATATAGGCTTGATCCCTGATTTCTTGCATTTGAGCTGCTGATTCTTAGAGGAAATTATGTATACAATGCCTATTGGTACCACTACATGTTCAAAGATTCCAACCTCAGAGGAACTGTTAGCACATCTTCAAGGCTATCCTTTTTATGTATTCTTTCTCTTTCCTCTTGCATCTGCACAGTGATCATTCTAAACCTTTATAAATAAATCCTACACCATCTTCCTCATTCTTAAAAGATAAACTTGCCTCCTACTTTACAAGGAAATCTCCATCACTTCTCATCATAATACCTAAAATCTTACCTAAAACTGCTCTCTCACATTTTGCTGCAACTTTAGACCCTGATTCTATTTTTTTGTTGTTTTTTTGGTTTTGGTTCTGAAATAGTTATTGAAGGTTTGCTATGAGCCAGACATAATGCTTAGGCAAAGACAAAATCCCTCTCCTCAAGTAATGTTAAGTATTAAGTATTAGAAGACAAATACAGAATGTTATGCAAGCAGATGTGGTACACTAAGGCTTTAGGTACAGGGTGTTAGGCTAGGTTTAGGTGATGTCTAAACCAATCCAAAAAATGGTAAGTAGGGGTCAAAGTTCCTATGATGTGCCCCCAGGCCTCTCAATTACTTTACATACCACTTAACACATCATATTATAATTTATTTGATGAAGTCCTCTACAAGATAATGAAAATCCACTTAGGGAAAAGTTCATATCTATCTTGTTAACCACTGTATCCCAACATCTAAAAAAGTTCCAGTCAAAAAAAGCACTGAATATTTAGAGTATTATAAAATAATGGAAATAATATGAACTTCAGAATTAAGACTGGCCCAGGCAGTGTTGATATTTAACAACCAGGATGGCTATATGTATCAACTGAATATCTTCTTCTGTAATTCTGGATTTAAATTCTGGCTCCATTTCCTGAGATTTTTAAATTAAGGCAAGTCAGTTAAATGGTCTGAATATCATTTTATCATCTGAACATGTTGATCATAATAATACTTAATTCATGGTATGGTTTTAGTGATAAAATGAAACAGCATATAAAATAACCCATTTCAGTACCTGATACACTAAAGACATATAATAAATGTTTGATTTCCTTTCTACACTGCTTTTAAGTGAGTTCTATTTGTAGTTGGATAGAAAATTAAAATATGCAGAAACCAAAGCAGAATGAGTGTGCTCTAATTATTTCATCTTTCCTTAATGATTTTTCTCAAGTGCTCAACTTAAATAATTTAGTTTACTTCTAAACTTTAAAGCAGTTTATTTATTATTTTTGAGAGAGAGAATGCGCAAAAGCACGCAATGGTGGGCGGGGGGTGGGGGGGCAGAGGGAGAGACTCTTAAGCAGGCTCCACCCCCCAGCACAGAGCCCCATGCAGGACCCTGAACCTAAACCAAGAGTCAGACACTTAACTGACTAAGCCACCAGGTGTCCCTGCTTCTAAACTTTAAAATGCATTTATCCCTAATCTTCTCTGTGATATAAGTTTAACATTCGCTATTCATTCATTTACCTAATTTATAAATTTTTGCCTATATGTCAACCTTAGATTAAACTTAATGATTCAACAAAAATATATTAAGAGCCTATTATCTGTGCAAAACTGTAATTTAGCTTTATCATTCATGGACTAGTCTATGCAGATACTTCTGGATAGATTCTGGCTGAATAAATGCTCCAAGATGCTTAATAGATATTCTCTTTCCTTTTTCTTTTGTTTTAATAATGAAGATAACTAATGAATTTCATCCAAAATCAGAAATCAAAGTTGAGTGGAAAGAAAGCTTTCAGTAGAATTAAAAACTGGTATCTTTTGCAGTAACTATATTCTTCAGCTTTAAATTTTTTTAAGGAATAGTTAACAAATAATTAGAAATCTAATAGTGCTAAATGCTAACTTCAAATCTTAGTAATTGATCTATATGCTTTAAGTCTATATTGGTTACAAGTATCCCAGTTTATTCAGTATAGTGAGACTTGTCAGAATAAAACAACAGATCTAACAAGGATAATCATAATTAAGTTTTTCAGATAGTCTACCAAACACAATAGTGCTATAAATGGATTAGAATTATATCTGTAGGTTGAGCAAAGAGAGCATTGATTTCAGATGTGCTTGGTTATTTCTCCCTACACGTGCCCATTCTCAACTGACTTTTATTTAAGCTATTTGCCATAGAAGTCATATAGTTGATTTGCTTAAAGGTAAAATTTTGTGCCACTAACGTGAAAGAACAATCTTCAATTAAATTCACCACTTCCCTTAAATCACAAGACACAAGAATAGAATCTCAAGCTAGTCTAATTAGAGAATTTCAACTTGTCATTTGAAATGATTTACACATATCATTTATGTTCCTCATTTTAGAAATAAGTGTCATAATTCTAATAAAGAGTGATGACTTTCTTACTCTGGGTGCTAGTGAATAACTATATAATTATTGTTTCAAGAATCACTACACAAATATTGAGAAAATGAATCACTAAAGAGTTTTAAAATGAGAATGTGAAAATAGAAGTAATTTTAAATTGCATAATGTAAAACTGAGACCATGCTTCTTCAACGTATCACATCTAAATTTGCAAAGTAAACATGACATGCTGAGAATAGGAGTAAGTTGGAATTCTTACCCTGGAAAGAAATAAGCTAAAGCTTTTTCCCAGTTTGTCCAATTTTCTATTTCTTTAGAGTGGGTGGGTTCTTTCTTCTTCTGGCCTTAGAAGGAACCCTGGATTGCCTGTCTTTCTGCATGATGAAATGGAGAAGACAAAGAAGCACATTAGTTTCATAAAAGACTTCCAAAAATCTCATATCCATCTTCCATCTTACATTTAGGGCTTTCATAGGGCTTCCTTGCCATCGTCTTTCTGGGAAAACTGATTTCCATCTCCACTGTGGACTCCTAATATAATTCTGTGCTGAAGCTTCCTGGGCTCTATTTCTTTTGACAATATATTCATACCTAGTTTCTTTCAGAATATTTGTTGAAATCTTTTATCCACTGATGACTCCCTCTTTCCTTTTCTGTGTATATTTTTTTACTTTTTAATTGTAATTTTAATGGAAGAAAAAGACATAAATAAATCGGGCTGTAACCCTAACAATTTGCTTTCTTACCAATACATTGTGAACATTTTCCCATGTCATTTACTGTCTATACTATTTAAGCATAGGTATGATTTAGTTTTGAAGCTAAGTTATATTCTTTACTCATCAATTATGTATTTAGATAGTTCTAGTGAAATTCAAAGTAAAGATCACAGTATTTTTCCAAGATTGGAGTCACTAGATGATTCTTTGTATTTTATTAGTGATTGATTTAGAGACCTTCACTTATTTTTTTTCTTTTGTTGCCTGTGCTTTTGTTGCCATGTCCAAAAACTCACGGTCAAATCCAATGCCATGCAGCTTTCCCCTATCTTTCTTCTAAGACTGTTATAGTGTTAGCTCTTACAATCTAAGGCTTTGATCAATATTTACTTAGTTTTGTATATAGTAGGTAAGGGTCCAACTTCATTATTTTGCATGTGGATATTCAGTTTTCCCCAAACCAACACCACTGGTTGAAAAAACTGCCCTTTTCCCAGCTAGTGGTCTTAGCATCTTTGCTGAAAATCATTTGACCACTTATATGAGGGTTTTGGGGGGCTCCCTATCCTATTCCATTGATTTATATGTATGTCTTTATGTCAGTGACATACTGTTTTGATTCTGTGGTTCTGTAACATGTTTTGAAGTCAGCAAATGTGAAACCTCCAGTTGGTTCCACTCTCTCAAGATTGTTTTGGATTCAGGGATTCCCTTGAGTCCCTTGAAATTCCATATTAATTTTAAGATAAATATTTTCCATTTGTTTTTTGTTTCTGATAATAGCCATCCTAGTGGGTGTGATGTTAATAATTTTAATTCCAATCATCTATTTCCTTAATGTATTTTTTCTTTTTTTCATTCTATCAGTGAGGAGGTAAGTTCAAATTTTCTAGTATTGTGTGTTTATCTCTTAGTTCATATACTATGAAGCTGTTTTATTAGATGCACAGAGTTTTTTTATCTTCTGGTGGAAGTAATACTTTTTTTTTCTGAAAGTCTGCTATGTCTCATGGTAATATTTTATATCAAGCTACTTTCCACTTTAGCTTACTCATGATCGATATTTTTTCATCCTTTGCTATTTTCCACAGATCTTTTATTATCAGCACATTCTTTAATCCAGTATGACAGTCTTTGAGTAGTCTGTGTACATTTAACATAATACTGATATATTTGGTTTTAAATATATCATCCTTCAGTATTCAAAGCAATAAAATGAATGTCACGTAAGTCTATTTTTCCTAAATTTTTTATTAAGATATCATTAGAAGTGACCAAAATTATTATTATATATTAACAATATTTAAAATTTCTATTATTTTTTCAGCAAAAATGAGATGTGAGACTGACATAATCTAGATCATGTAGGGTAAAAGCACACTTTCTCTAACTCTTAACTAAAGGAACATTTCATAGACATGTCATATAAATATGTCTAATGCTACATTTTATAGTTAACAATTTCCTTATTGTTCTGTATTTCTTTTCTGAAAAAAGTGAATAAACCTGTCTCACAGTTTTTGTAAAGATGAAAGATATTTATAATCTTTTAAAGATTTTTTTTGTTGCTTTTATTTTTAGAGAACAAGGATTATGGAATATTCTGCTGATTCCTTTAATATCAAGATGAATAAAATTTTTCCCCAGGTCTCTTCCTCTTTTCCTCAACCCAAGCCATTATTTTCTCCCCAAAGATCTCCACATGCATATTTTTTTAAGTGAGTTTGCTCTACCTGGAAAACTATAACTGTCCTCTGCCTAGCTGCACAGACAAAAACATTTTTTTTCATTCTCTTGAGACTGTTTGGCCTATGTTTCATAACTTTTATAACAAATATTGACCAAAACATTAAATAGTCCCACTTAGTGAATGATATACTCTTAGTGAATGATATACTCAATGTCAAAAAATAATTACATTTTTCATGAATAGAAATGTTATTGGTACTAAACTATTTCTGTTGCTAATAGATTCCCAAGTTAAAACACAAAATTTGGTGTAGATGTCATTATCTCATTTCCCTTTTCATCTAAACAGCACTAAAAATCAAAACTGAAAAATAATAAAAGGATAATCTGGCTTCTAAAACTCTTAGTTTTGAGCAATCACTTCAGTTACTAAGCTCAACATATCAATGATTTTCTCAATGTATAGTTAAGTATTTCCAGGTAGTTCTAGTTCTGCTTTATCTCTGATCTTTAAACTTCTGTATTATCCAACACAGGTATTTCAAACCTATTAGTTCATTTGAGATAATAAATATAACAAACTGCCTTGTCACAAAAACAAAAGAAACACTTCTTCAAATTGAAAATTTGAATTATTCAAGAAGTAGTACTGGTAGGATGGGATAAAGAACTTTTTTTTTAACACTCTTACCAATAACATACAAGTAGCAATGCAATTCATTATGAAGATTTAGAAGATTAAGAATTTTGATTAGTTTAGGATGATCTTTGGAGAAAAATTTTATTTTGGGCACAAAGGGAAGAAAACTGTTTTGATTTCTACTAGGGAACACTTAGTGTCAAAATAATGATATCCTTCTGCCACATACTCTAAAAAATATTATGACACAATAATATTAAAAAATTGTGACTCAATATATTCTGATGATATCCATTATCTGGAGATATAGGATCTTCTTCTAAATGTGTTTTTTTTTCTTTCTTTTTTTTTTTTGAGAGAGAAAGAGAGAGAGAAAGACGGGCGCCTGGGTGGCTCAGTCAGCGAGGTGTCCAACTATTGGTTTCGGCTCAGGCCTTGATATCATGGGTGATAAGATTGAGCTATCAGCTCCATGCTCTATGGCGAGTCTGCTTGAGGATTCTCTCCCTCTCCCTACTTGTTCACACATGTGCCCTCAAATAAATAAATCTTTAAAAAGAGAGAGAAAGAGAGAGAGAGAGAGAGAAAACACACATGTGCACAAGTATGCAGAAGGGGAGGGGCAGAGGGAGAGGGAAAGTGAGAATCTTAAGCAGGCTCCATGCCCAGCATGAAACCCAAAGCAGGGCTCCATCTCAGGACCCTGAGATTTTCATGACCTAAGCTGAAATCAAGAGTCAGATACTTAACTGAGCCACCCAGGTGCCCCAAAATGTAATTTCATTTTAAGACAAATATGTAAGTAGAGCCATAATTCTCAAACTGATGTTGGAGAATCTTTCCAGGGTTCCCCAATTAACTGAGAATTTTTAAGTAATATCAAGGATAAAAAAAGTATATATACAAGATCAGAATCAGAATCAGCTAAATGAAAACTTTATAAATGAGCAAAGATACCCAATTTCAACACTGGGGCTGGCAATGTTTCTAGGAGCTGGTGGAAAAACAGGCTGGGCTAGTTTAAGAATGGCTTTTTAAAACATGCTAAGGAGTCATTTCAGAAGTGTAAGAGAGAAATGTAATGGTAAGATATACATTTTGAAAAGATCATTTAGATATCCATATAAAGAATGAGTTAGAAGCAAAAAAAAAAAAAAGAAATAACTAATTAGAAGAAACTATTATAATATACAAATAGGAAACTGTAGCATAGTAGGGATGATGAAACAGGATTGGAAAGACAAATAAGGAGTGGAATCCATAAAACCACGTGAACAGATTGGCTATGGGATGAGAGGGAGGAGCTTTTTAAAGCCAAAAGGAACCAATATAAAATGTAGAGTAAATGATTAATATCAGTGATTAAAAACCCATATTTTTTTGTACTTTTAGAGAACCAACTGACTATTCATACATACACAATTTAAAAATCTACACTAGGAACTTATGTCTTTAATTTTGCAACTATTATAAATTTAACAATTTCACTTTTATATAATGTGAGTTGTGCAATGGGCTTGGAAATTTTCCCTCTCCTTTGCTACATAATCTATTTTTAAAAATCTAGCTTAATTTCTTTCTATAGATCTTATAGAAGCTTAATGTCATCCTTTTATTATTTGGTAGCTTTATAAGGTATCTTTCCTCTAACAAACTTTTGTCTTCTTGGTTTTTACAGTGAACATGTAGAAGTCTCCAAATTATTTCTTCTCTTCCCATTTTAAATAGGAAAACAAGTTTTCAGAGGCACATATAGTAACTGTCATAAAAAATTAATGGGAGGGAATTGCTTGTCATGTTGTTAAATTTCACATAGGTCTTTGTCTATGTGACTGATCTCCCTGTGATAGATTTTATTTCCTTATACATTAAAAAGTCATTTGCCTGTTTCATCTCAGTGCCTAAAACAATGTCTGGCACATGGTAGGTGCTAAATAAATATGTTAATTACTGAATAAATCAATGAATTCATATCCCAAATAACAAGAGTATTAACTGTCAAGCCTCAGAAGAGGGCTGTTCTTAATTCATTTAAAAAGAATGTAGGATTCCCTCTACTAGATCTTTTTTCTTTCCCTGTACAACATACCAACCCCACTCTGGGTTCTCTGCTGCTGTTCTTTTAGCTGTTCTCATACTTCTTCTCCCTACTTTAGGGCTTTCCAGGGCTATCAAATTTTTCTTCACCTACACATTTCCGAAAGAAAATCATTGCACTTAGTTACTGTGCATACAATTATGACACTCGCGTTTTATTTTTTAAAAAATGAAAGCTCTGTTAGAAGCTAATTCTGACTGAATACAAAGCATTTCAAATCAAAAAGTTATTATGAAGCACAGATTGTATGTCTGTGAACATACAACAGAGAGTTCTAGCACAACAAGGCTAGCTGCTAGAGACAGTAGCATCTCTTTCTTTTATAAATCAAACGTAAATGCCATACTAATTTAGTATCCATTATTATTCATCCTGTTGAGAAGCACATGAGCAAGCTCTCTTTTCACAGTTGGGAACTTGATTATCATTCCTTTTCTTCTTGAATTCATATTTTTATCTCACTTCTCCCACATAAATTTATCCTAACATTTTAGTGTTTGAAAATCTTTTAAATTGACCATCCTATCACATTTCCCTCAACAACAACAAAGTATTTTAAAATTCCTGAGAACATAAGTTCTAAAAATTTTCCTCAGTATTATATTGTGATATCATTAAATTACTAGACTACTACTGATCAAATAACAAAAATACTACAAATTATGATCATTTGAAAATATCAGGTCAGCTTTTATTGGAAATGCATCTCATAAAGAAATAGATAGGGCCTTCTCCCCCAACACCCATTTAGATCATGTATCCAGAATGACTACTACTCATTGCTAGAAAGAAAGAGGTTAGGTTGTTCTTCTATTTTGTAGTCTTCCATTCCAAGTATATGGGAGTAGAAGGATTTCTGGTTATAACAACAATCATTCTTTTGAACTACTAAGCCATGTACCAAAAATCACATAGAGGTATGACATAAAAATTATTTTTAATGGTCAGATGACAACTCAATTAGGTCCTGCAATATTTTTGAAGGCCTTTGGAAACTGCCATTCTTGCAAAGGAATTAGCTACCCAGTCATTAGAATCACTCACTTTCTAAACAGAATTAGGCAGATTAAAGGTATTGCTTTATATGTAGAGTAGGAGGACAATTACCAAAGAGGAAGGGAGAAAGGTGTCTGATTCAGGCACACTCTGAGGTAGATCAATTTTAGGGAAGAAAACATGCAAGTGGACAACCTGAGAATTAGTACCTTCAAACTATCCTTTATGTAAAGGATTATGTATGGAAACCCTCCATGTACCTTCTAAAAGGTTAAGGGTTAGGGATATGCGTTGCCCTGTTTGAAGACTGTTGTTTCAGGATACACACAGATGTGGATATACAGAGTTTATCAAGTCATGACTTAAGTAGTTTACATCCTTTTGTCCATGTGTATGTGCTTTTTTCCTTGGGGGTGTGTGGGTGTGATGAGGTGGGAGAAAATAATTTTAATATAAAATAATTTTGTTAATAAAGACCCACCTTTTTCATAATTATAGTAAAGAGGTGTGTATTTTAAAATAAAAATAGACTCTCATCAGAAAAACTTTAAAATAACGGGCTAAGTCATTTTCTCCTTACTCAGAGAGAAAAGATAAAACTGAATTTCCCTTCGTTTTCGACAAGTCTCAAATTATTCTAAATTGTGAATGAAAGTTGAAAAATAGAAAATATTTTCATATCTACAAATTAGAAACCAGATTATCATTTTATTTATGATGATTTGGGGTGCCTGAGCCAATTTTGTGACTATTCCTGAAAACTCTACTAGCGAAAACATCCTATTTAGTGGTCTTTTAAATTTGCAAAGCGCTTTACCAAGGCCATCAAAAAATAAATGATTCATGTCTAAAATACTAAAAACACTGCTCTCTTCCATGCCGCAGCCGGACAAATTGAAGCAAATGATTTTATTATTTAAATTTTTAAAAATATGATGTAACTTTAAGTTGCGTGTGGTCTTTGTTCGCAATAGCCGTGAACTTTCACTTAAACCAAAAAGAGAAGCTTAACAACAAAAACGTATTTTAAAGTTAACCCTTGAGTCGAATCCATTCTTTGATCAGAGCTGACAGGTGGGCTGATGAATTAAAACGCGATGTAAAAACACCTTCCCACAAAACACCTTTTTAAACAATAAGCCTTCAGTTGACAAAGTACTAAGTAAGAGGGTGGCGAGGGGTGTCACTGTTGCTAATTGGCGGTTAATGAGGATAAACTGCCTACAATTACCGTTTTCTCGCTTATTTTTTAAAATCAAAAGTAGCCCTACAGCTTGAGGGGTTCCATGTGGCTGCGACCTCCAAAGTCAGTAAAGAGTTCAACTACTCGTGACTCCACAGCTCAGGGGTATCATCTAGAAATACTGGAAGGCGGAAGCAACTCTAGGGCAGCCGGTTACCATCCCCAAATCCCAAAGCTTTGCCCAAAACTCAATAAAGTTGATTTTTTTTTTAAAGAGCACTGTGCCGAATAACTATGGGACCTTGAGTAATTCGCCGAGCTTGTGTTTCAACTGATGGCCTGAAGTTTCGCAGTAGCGCCCAGGAAACGGAGGTGGGGGCTTGAACAGCTCCTTCCGCCCGCCCCGAATGCGTCGTTAGTTTCCCAGCTCCCGGCCACAGCGAGGCGACAGCGCTATAAACATGGAAGAGCGCTACTGAGCGGACCCAAAACGCACCACAGACGCTCGGGGACCCCCAAGCGGACGCCGAATGAAAAGGACGCGCTGGAAGAAGGCGGAAAAACACCCCAGCGACCCAACCGCCACAGCGGCCGGTAACACGCTTACCCATCTCCAGCTCCGCCTCCGCTCCTCGCGTCGCCGCGGCCCCGCCCCGCCGCGGAGACTCACGGGACACGTAGTACGCCGCGCCCACTTTCTCCTTCCCTCACCCCTCACAGCCCCGGCTTCGAGAACGCCCTCTCAGCTCCCTGCGGACTGACTTCCGGTTTGCTCGCGCGGCCTCGGAGCCCAGCCTGAGGACCGGAGGAGTTCCACTTCCGGCCGTTCACTGCTCGTCTTCCCTTCCAGTCCCCCTCGACAGCGCTTCCCTTCCGCGGAACGCGACATGGCCATCAGCCGGTGCGGACGCTGACGAGGCGGGCGCCGGTGGGCCTGGGTCTCGCGCGCGTGTTGCTGGGTAACGGGCCTTCTTCGGCAGCCGCTCGGCTTCTCCTCTTCGGCTTGTCCCTCCTTCCACAACCTCCGGAGCTCCAGTCGACGGGCCGGGCTGCGCCGCTTGCGGCGCAGTAGAGGCTAAAGAAATGGGAATTCGTCCGCGGCGTTCCCGGAGCGGCTGCCTTCTCTGGGGAAGCGGCGGTGTCTTCGAGGAAACCGGAAGCCCGTGGTGACCTCTGGCGACCCGGTTTGTTTTCCGTCCGTTTCCAAACACTGGGGAATCGAAACTCGGCGGCCCTGGGGGCGGCCCTACGTAGCCTGTCTTCGGGGTGAGTGACTCGCTTCAGCCGGGCTAGGGGTGCGGGCGGTGCCAGGACCAACCTCCGCTGCCGTTGCTGCTTCGAAGAGACACGTCATTTTCTTCTCAAGTCCGTGCGCTCTCCTTTGGCTAGGGAGCAGCCCGCCCCTGGGCTTCCCTTACTCATGTCATCTTTTCATGCTAGTTATTCCAGGCCCTACTTGGTCTTTCACTCTCTTTGTCTCTATTGCTTATTTTCTTTCCGTACTCTGAATTACTAGGGCGCCATTAGTTTTATTTCATTCATTGAGATGGCATTTATATCGAAAACGAAAGAGGGACGTGTGGCTAGGACGGTACTGCCTGGGGCAGTGGACATGAACTCCCCTCCACCCCCGTCCGTTATCGAGGCTAACAGTAGATATTCGTCGTTTCTGCAGTGTCTAACCTGTATGTTTGGTATGATTTTTGATCATTTGTTGAGTGACTACTACATACATGCATGGTAGGTTGACTCGTGTCCGTACAAGGAACTCACTCGAAAGTGAGGTAAAATACTCGCTAAAACAGTAATACAAGTTGAAATATAAACTGCTCCAGCATGTGTTGTTGGAGATATGCTAAGATGATCGAAGACAGTGACGTACTAGGACTGAAACTGACCCGTGCCTCTTAAATATAGGAGACAGTTTTTTTTTCCTGCTTTGGAATTTTGAATTGGATTGTTCAAGATCTCAACGCGTAATTTAAATTCTGGTTCTCTAAACATGCCATATCTAATTTCCCAACCTTTTGTGATCACTCCCTACTTCATCTGTAAATTAGGAATGATACATCACTCACAGGGTCGTTAGAAAATTTTAATGCAATATTGTTTATAAAATAGGAAGATGTATACAAATGTCAGGTTTTAGTATTAGAGAGTATAGTGTAATGGGAAATGCACTGGATTAAGTCAGAACATTAACTCAAGATCTGAGTGCTGAATTTTCCACTTGCTCACTTGACACTGGGTAGGAGACTAAATCTCTTCATTTTCCCAATCTCTGAAATGAGAGTAATGCCTAACTGTCCAAGGCACCAGTGCTTAGTTTCTAAGAGTTTCCCTTGCTCTAGAGTAAGCTGGCTGGTTTACATTCCTGGCTTCCTCACTTTCACCCTTTGCCTTTCTTTCAGTCCACCTGTGATAACAGGAAATTTTTGCCCACATCAGAGCTCTTAGATTTAATGAATTGTTATGAAGAACAAATGAGGTGGTTCTCCTAAAAACTGCCTGACATACCATAAACACTCTGTAAATATTAATTACCAACACTGAGCATTTTTATGTTTATTGAATGAAATGTGATGAAGTTTTTCATAATCCATGAATAGAACCAATGTGATTTATTTTTTTCTTCCTTGTACTTATATTCTGGATTAAGGTATAGTTGTCTTATGGCTATTAGAGGGTAATTACTGCTAATACTAGTAACAGTGTATATAAGTGCTCAATTCTCTTGAGATATATTACTTTATGAAAAGATTGAAAAGAAGTAGACTGCTCTTCAAACCTACACTAACCCTGAAAAAAATCTTTATTCCCTAGCCATAACACTTATTTTTGGACTAATGCAGTTTAGTGACTTACAGAAAAGAGAGTGGAGTTTCTCATACTGTATATCTGATGCTGAGTACATTTTGGGCATTCACTGAATTATAGGGCATTTGAGTTCTGAGGTATATAGATGGAGTGACAGTATCATGAAAAAAGGCACTTGATTATCCCTTCTTTATAAACTAGTTGGGTCGTTCCTGTCCCTAAGTATTTAATTAAAAATAGGGAGTGAAGGGGCACCTAGGTGGCTAAGTTGGTTAAGTCTTGAACTCTTAATTTAGGCTCAGGTCATGATCTCAGGGTTGTGACATTGACCCTGGGGTAGGGCTCCATACTCAGTGGGAGTCTGCTTGAGATTCTCTGTCTCTCCGTTTCTCTCTGCCCCTTTCCTGCTCGTGTATGTGCTCCGGTGCTCTTTCTCTCTCTAAAAAGAAATAAATCTTTAAAAAATATAGGGGGGTGCCTGGGTGGCTCAGTCAGTTGATCGTCTGACTCTTCGTGTCCGCTCAGGTCATGATCTCAGGGTCATGAGATCAAGCCCAGAGTTGGGCTCCGTGCTCAGTGGGGAGTCTGCTTGGGATTCTCTCCCTCTGCCCCTCCCTCTAGAATAAATAAAATCTTAAAAAAAAGAAAAGAAAAAAAAGAGAATGAGGAGTAAGCGTTGGTCTGTTTGCCTCCATAGGATTTAATCCTTGCTCCACTGTATGGTGACTGATCCTATGAAGTGGGTTAGGGATACTCTAGCTTTTCAGAGGTAGAAAGATGATGGAAATAGGAGATTCAGTTCAGGAGGCAATGTAGAATAGAGGAAAGAGCCTACTAAATAGTCCTTAATTCCAACCCTAGCTCTGTCACATACTGTCAGGTGATTATAGGCAAATTAACCTCCACCTCTTTGAAGTTAAGTTTCTTCATCTATGGTGGTGATAATAACTTTTTAGCCAAGTTTGGTATGGATTTGAGGTAAGGTTTGTATTATACCGTTTATTTAGTTTCTGGCAAAAATGTCAATTCCTTCTGTTTAGGTTGCCATTCTATATTTGCATTAAATTTTCCCTTCACAATTTAGGAGGGTAGTATCTTAGTAATGTAGTTCAACCTTGTCATTTTATTGATGGGAAAATTTAGATCCAGAGAGGTAAACCCATCAGTAATCAAGGTGGCAGATCGTAGACTAGAATCTGGGTTTTTCAATCTCTGGTCAGGGTTCTTTTTACCACTGAGTTTTGCCTTTTCCGGATTCTTAATGGAAAAAATCTGAATCCATGTTGTGTTGCCTCTCAGAATGTTGTATTAGGAGCACAAATTTGGAAGATAACTTACCTGGGTTTACATCCCAGCTTTGCCGCTGATAACTTATATAGCTGTAGGTAAGATGTTTAATTTTTTTCTAAGACTTTGTTTATAAATTAGGATAATAGTACCTACCTAAGAAGTTGGAAAATGCATTTGGAAGCACTAGTGCCTGGCATATGGTAAGTGATGAATATGGTAAATATGATGATGATGAAATATGACAGGAGAATCATATTTTTTTCCTAGAAAAGAAGATACTTCTGTGTTTTCTAGTATCTCACAAGCCAGTACATATAGCATGTCTCAACTCGGGGTCCTCTTAATGTTGTTTGTAGTAAAGACTGAAATTTAAGATTTTCTAAAATAATTCTTACAGTGTTTGAATCTTTTTTTTTCTTTGTCTCTTCCTTAGCCTCACAAACTGCTCTTGCTCCTTTCTACCCACCTTATTTGGCAAACTGTGCCCTTCTTTCTCCATTATCATTTCAATATTGTGATTTATGAGAAATGTGTATTTGATCATTTAGATGACCAGAATGTATTTCTCATACATATTTGGCTTTAGTCCACAGTTCTTGGCCCTCAGCTCCCAAACTCTTGGAATTTCCTGAGCCACTACTCTACAGAGTTAAGTGGCTACTATGTGATTTACAGAATTCCAATTATAACTAGTATTCTTAAACATTTATGGTCCTGGTTAGTTCTGTATTATCAATTTATAAACATCACCTAACTTGTACATGGAAATTTTGTTTTTAATAGTATAGAAAACAAATTCATATTCATTATTTCTCTCATCACAATAATATAGGAGAATCAGATATATTTACGTACAGGAATCAAAACTGTAGGTAATATATCTATATAATCATGCAAATATTTTATATATTTGGAATTGTTTCTTCTTAGAGGTTTACATAAGAGAAGTATAAGTTAAAAGAATTAAAAAGGGTTAAGGTGAGGGGCACTGGGTGGTTCAGTAAGAGTTATAGGATCATCTTTCGTCATAATATTTGGTCTCTTAACATCTTTTATGGAGCCATGAAGGTGAAATGCATGTCTTGTTTATTTCTAACAAGCTCCTTTCTACCAGGACTGGGTTTATGTTAATGGGGTGACTTTTGGACAGCAACTAAGGATGGGAGCTGATTGCCAAGGAAACCAATCCTATAATTAGAGGGTTGAAGCTTTCAGTCCCACCAACGTTGAGGGGTGAGGGGGCGAAATTTTAATCAGTTGCCAATGATTTAATCATTTCTGTGTAAGGAAGCCTCTGTAAAAACCCAAAGAGGAGAGGGTTCAGAGAGCTTCCAGAATATTTTCACATGCCATTATGCTGGCCCCAAATTCCAGAAGGACAGAAGCTGCTTTGTTTAGGACCTCACCCTACGTATCTGTATGGTCAGAAGCACAGGTAACAACCTAGGCTTACAGTTAGCATCCAAAGTAGAGGGTAGTCTTGTGGGAGCAAGCCCTTTACCAGTGGAATATGTTGCTGTCTCTTGGTAGATATCAGAATGGAGTTGAATTATAGGTTACCCAGCTGCTATCCAGAACATTGCTTGTTGATAGTGTGGAAACATCTCCTCACATTGGAATTGGCTGACCAGAGCACCATTTAATCATTCTTGGGAATTTCATTGTTCTCAGCAATAAATGTCAACATCTTTCACCTTAACTCCCCCTCTTTGTTTTTTTTGTTTGTTTGTTTTTTTGGTTTTTTTTTTTAAGAGGGAGAGTGTACGCGCAAGTGTGGGAGGGGTGGTTTTGGGGAGGGGCAGAGAGGGAGAGAATCTTGAGCAGGCTCCACACCCAGCATGGAGACCCACACGGGGCTTGATCTCAACCCTGAGATCATGACCTGAGCCAAAATCAAGAGTAGGGTGCTCAACTGACTGAACCACCCAGTGCCCCTCACCTTAACCCTTTTTAATTCTTTTAACTTATACTTCTCTTATGTAAACCTCTAAGAAGAAACAATTCCAAATATATAAAATATTTGCATGATTATATAGATATATTACCTACAGTTTTGATTCCTGTAGGTAAATATATCTGATTCTCCTATATTATTGTGATGAGAGAGATAATGAATATGAATTTGTTTTCTATACTAT